ATGGTTTTGAAATTTTAGTTCTAAAGCCTGGTTATAGTGTTTAAGCAATTGAGATAAACTGCAATGTATATGAAATATTTAAGCAAAATATGTTATTACTTGAATAAATACAACAAAATGTTTTTCCTTTCCTAGTGAAAATTGACCAAATATTGTTTTAAATCAGCTCATTTTGTGATTTATCACAAGACTCTGTTACACTAAAAGCCATGCCCATCTTTCTGATTAATCCACATTGTTTTTAAGCTTATTAAGCAGTATTTAGAGCAATAGTAGCACACAACATTTCTTAACAGCTGCTGACTATGATATATATGATATATAAATTAGCAGTGTGTAAGTTGTAGTTGTGTGGATGTTGAATCTGACTTATTCAGTTAAAATGGGTCTGTTGAATATTATGTAAGATTTAAAATGCCTAAATATAAATAAATCAAAAACAATTCATTCAGTTAGTAAAGACAAAAAGCTAAATAATCATGATCTTAACATATTGCTTTTATTTAATTAAGACACAATATATGCATACATAAAAAGGAAATATAATAATGGGTATTGTTTTTCACCTTATTTCTTTGTTTGATTACTTGTAATTTAGGCCTTTTCAATTCAAGTTTTGGCATCACAGCAGTCTTGTCTTTGTCCTCACTTGTCCTCCGTCCTACCAGCTGATTACTGGAACTCACTTTGCAGCTCCCAGTTAGACTGAACAATAAATTATACCAAAGTTTGTCACGGTCAGTCTTGTCTGGTTCAGTCTAAACCAGCTCGGGTCAGTTCACTTCACTTCGGTCCCAGCCAGTCCAGCCATGCTCTGGTAACTCAAGGTCACCCTGGATGTGAATTAATTTACTGCAAATAAATTAGCTAAATTAAAATGGCAAACTGTGGCTCGTTACAAAAAGGTCAGACACACACAAGATGCCGAGGTCACGGTGTTTCCTCCTGCCTCTTCCTCAGCGGCTAATAGGGTTTAATCAGACTCGTTATTGATGGAATAAATAAACTGAAGTAGAACAAGTAAAAGTTTTTGGAAATGACTGTCAATCTCACAATGACTGTGAGTAACCCAGTGTAACATTTATACTTCAAAGCACCATGGAAACTGCCATTGCCAGTTGAGTCAGTATTTTCAGTCCACAGTTGACAATGCTGGTAACTGGAGGCACTCATTTATCTGTCAGCTGTTGATAAAGGGTCCACTGACAGCAACATCTTCTTTTTCTTCTTTACAAACACAACACATGACAAAAATGTCAGTGGAGCAAAATATTTGCATCAAGCTCAGACCAATAAATCTCCCTATTCTGACCAAGACAGCCCTCCATTATCTGCATAACCTATTAGCCGGTCATCCAGAGGATTTCTGTGTCACAGCAGGCTTAGTCCGGTCAGATTTAGGATTCAGGACCTGTATCTTTCTGCCAGTGATTTGTCACTCTTCTTCAGGAGGGAGTTGTGTTAGAACTTGACAGGATGAGGAGCCACAAGTGTGTATAGCTGCAGTGTTTGTGGCCTTTAAGGTTCAGGTTTTTCACAATTGGGCTTAGATTTTAAATACCAACACATTCTCACTCACGACTCAACGCATATTGACGCTTCGTCAAGGTGTCGCTTTTTAATGCCCTGGGTACCCTTTTTGCGTCATTTGTAGAGGTTTAGGGCTCCGCAGTTAAGTTAGCAACGCTGAGCAACAATAAATATGCAACGTCCGCTTAGACTTTTGCAATTTGGTTAGGTTTAGGCACCAAAAGTACTTGGCTAGGGTTAGGCAACAAGTCTAAACCAGGATTTTTTAAAGTCTGAGACTACAGGCCTCCTGTCAGACAAAGCTTAGTGCTTAGTTTCGCTCAATTCCTGGATGCCTATCATGTTATTTGGTGCCATAGACATTTAAAAAATGAAACATAGACCAAAACAGTTTAATATTGCTGTTTGACATAATTTCAGACTACACCAAATGTACACCAAAAATGAATGTATTTGTATTTATTAGTTTCTGACTCTGATAGTAGTGGTAAAGAAAGTAAACTTCCTAAACCTTTTTTAACCAAATGGCACACATTAAGGCTATCCTATGTGATCTCCCTTTGATAGCAAGCAGCTCAACTATAAAACGCTGTGGGAAATATTTAAAATCAGCTGAGATTAAATTTCAGTTTAGCTCTGATTTTTAATTGTATGTGAAAGTATTACGGTGGCCAAGAGAGCTTAATGCAGAGCAACTTTGTAGGAAGCAAACGCAAACAAACATAAGGCAAGCAAATGAAGAAAACATCTTCATCACCCGGTATGTCCCAATTAGAAAAGTGCTGAAAATAAATAAAACACAAGCAAATTAGTTGGCACCATTCACCTATTTGGCAATAAAAACATGAGTTAAAACACAATAGAAATTACCTGGGGACACTACAAAATAGTTATTAGTGAACGGTTGGCGCAACTGCAGGTGGATAGCCAATATCTCAGGTATTCAGAATGTTAAAACTAAAATAAAACATTTAACAGAACCAAAGATTAATGAGCTTGTTTATTTTTAGTTTCTGCATTTTGTTGTGTACGACTTCCAACATTTCTGTTTTTGTTGTTTTTTTAGACTCGCCGCTTCCCCCGATCAGCCTGGTTGCATTGCAGATCTGTATCACAGCTGCAATAATAGGCTCAATTTACAGTGTCAGACTGAGCTCCTAACCCACATCTGTGATATTAGCATATCTGTCATCATCAGCGAGATACATGATGAGCCAGCATTGTGGTCACAAACTGGAGCATCATGTGAAAGACAGAACATTAAAACCCTCCAGTGTTGCAGAAACTGGAGTAAATTGTCTGACTTATCTTTTAATGCAAACAATGACAACTTTTTTAACATTTTATATCCATAACTTTGTGTTTGAAATTTGAAGGGGCAGTAGTAACCTATAATGCTCAGAGTTTAAACATGTTGTTGAGGAGTCATTGTCTTGTGTAATAGTAAACTTTTGCTTTTGAGCCATTGGTTGAAAGAAACAAGCATTTGTGAACATTTGAACAAGCCTGCCAGAAGGTGTCGGATTTAGTTTTTGATTCTGTATTTTACCAGGTCAAAACTTCAGACTTGAATGTTCTGGTCCAAGTCAAGCCGTACCTCTCATTTAATTCTGACCAAGAACCAAACTGATCTGTAGCTAAACATGCTGAACTCTGTAGTCTTTACCTCGTCAGGTCTTTATTCCAGAGAGGAAAACGGCTGGAAATGAGCATCTGTGCAGATTGCAGTTTGTTCCTGACCTCCCTGTTTTACTTTCCAAGACTAACAACATTGAGATGTAAATGATATTTTCTATCATTTTATTTTACATTTTACACTCTTCTATTCTTAGACCAAAACTTAAATTTATGTAGAATGTCCAAGTTCTCATTGTTTTTCAATCTTTTCTTTACCCCAGGGACACAACGGCACTATTTACTATTGAAGATAATTGTAATCAACTACCCCAGCATTCAAACCAACAGCTTCAGTAATTGTGTCTTCCAGACACATGCAGATGGTTATCAGTGTTTCTTTCCTCTGGAATCATTTTGACAGCTCTCTACTGCTGGAAAATGAATCCCACACTTGAAAATGTCTAACAATAAAAATGCATCATCTGTCTTCAGTTCTTGATCCCAAAAAAAACAAATGTGGAGCAATTATGGTGCAAAAAGTCAACCTGATAAAACCTACATGAATAAATATAATTGGGCAAACAAGCGGAGCTTCTAAACGTTGGAGATTACACATATTAACAAGTCTAGAGCCAGTAATACTGCGGGATGAGGCTTATCCTTGGTCTGTGTGCTGTTTATTGTGCTAAATAGAGTCAGTAATCTGCACTGCTTTAACTGCCCAATCCATCAGTCGCCCGTCCATCAATGTCTGGATGGTTTTATCGCTGGTAAAAAAATAAAAAAATAAATACGCCTACGGTACTCCTGCTGTCTGCTGGTTTTCTGCAAGTCTTCAAATGTCAGACAGAATTAGGTGAAGTTGAGGGTTTTTACCGACCTTTAACAACTTTATTTTTTCAATTTATTCAATTTTATTTTACATAGGCTCGGTACATGGCACACATACTTTCTTTCAGGATACAGGAACGTTTTTATCCAGGGATCATAAACAGATAGAGCAGCGTGTATAGATGGACGTGAATGTATAATAATAATAGTAATGTAAATATGTTATAAAAGTACAATAATAATATTAATAATCTTTATTGATAGAGCTCTTATCAAAACAATGTTACTAAGTGTTTTCGAAAGAGCAAAGAAAGTAAAATACAGCAAACAAAATAAGAAACACGGTAAAAGCAGGAAGAAAGTTGTGAAATAAAAACACAGTTAAAAGAAAAATTGATAATTCATTAAAATCAACCAACATCAGGAAAGGCGGCTCTATAAAAGTATGTTTTAAGAAGGGACTTAAAAGACTTCACTGACTCAGCTGCCACTTTACGTACTTTTGATTTAAATTGTTATAAATTCATAATTGCTGTTTATCATCTTTCTATATAATCATATTTTGACAAAAAGGTGGTTCACTTGTCCAAATGAATGATGTTGAGCTGGCTTTATACCGCCCAGTGAAAGCATGTTTTATTCCCCACGGAAATTATTATTATTATTATCATTAAATCTACCTGCTTTGCACCTGCCTCAGAGTTCTCATTCACACACACACCTACTCTCGAGTCTGTTACCGAAAACACACCAGCTTGCAGATACACATAAAGGAAGTGTATTGGATCTGGGTGTTTAGATTTGACTGAGTTATGATTCCACATGTATTGCAGACGTTGCTCTGTCCTCTTCCTTTCTCTCTCGTGACTTTGAGACGTTTAAGTAAACAACATCTTTCTTTCTCTCTCTTGAGTTTTTGCTTCATTCGCTTCTATTTATTTCATGACTGGTGATGTTCCTCTTCCTGGTCTTCTTTAGTAACTCTCACCTCTGCTCTTCTTTCTTCCTGACTGGACAGATGAATCCTATGACACAGCTGTACTACAAGAAGGTGAGTCCAATACACATTTGTTAGGACAATATTTTGACTTACATTAAGTCCCTTGCAGCTTATTTAAACCATAAAAAAAACAAGTCCGCTGTTCAAGGACTTTGACAATATGAGGACTTGATAAAATGTCCTCAGTGTAAGGGTTAAAACTCTTATTGGTCCTCACAAAGATAAGTTAGCAAGAAAACATACAGGACAAAAACAGATTCACACAAGTCTGTCAGTCTGTCCATCTCCCTCCTGTTTCACAGTGTCGACTAATGAAATAATCTGTGGTAGCGTTATTTACTGTAACTTCATGGTTACTTCAACACTAAATACTTGTTTTCAACCGCAGCCTCGGCTGTTTCATGTGTCTTGTTCAGCTCTACTGTATTGATGAATGATGTTTTATAATAGTTGACTTAAAAATAAAATATCCACCGCCGCATGAAGAATTTATAATTGCAGATGACAGAGAAATCCAACAGCTGATTTGTTTGACTTATAAGCCTGTTTAAGCCCTAAACCAAACAGCGAGCATCAAATAATTACAGCCACATGGCCATGCTAGCCGTGTGGCTGCAGGGATGCCATTGTCAGTCTGTGTCGTCTAGAAAACAGTTCCCTGTTTGATCACAGGAACTGACACAAAGAACACAGGGCTACTGATCCAAATTCATCCGGTCAATATAAACTATTGAGTTTGTCTCTGACATTGCTGCTCTGATGAATTACCATGAAGCAGAAGTACATGTGATCAATTGATCAATCATTGTCACCTGCTGAGCTGAATCACACAGCTCCTGATCAATGTAGCTTCTAGATTTCACTTTAAATCACCTCACTCATTAAATATGTGGACATTTCTCTATGATGCAGCACATCTGCTCATTTTCCCTGAAGCTTAATTTAATATGCTATGTGCTGTAATAACTTCTGACATGATCAAAGATGCTCTTTATTTTAGGTACTCACATAAAAATCCATAACCCTTATCATGTAAAAGTGAAAGTCAAACTCTAAGCATAATCAATGTTGATATGCACAGTACATGATTATACACTATTAACAAAAGTGTAACAATAAATAGCAGGAATGGATAGTGAAATAGTGTAAAATCACTACCTGAAAAAGAGGCATCTACTTTTTCAAAAACAATTGTTAAATTTAAAAAAAAGCAACAATTGTGGCTTGAAGAGTTAGGGTTGTGTTCTTTATGTTTCTTGTTATGAGTTTTTGTGTTGTGATTGTTTGTTTAGGCGACGTACTCGCCGTACCGTGACCGCATCCCGCTTCAGATCGTGCGAGCTGAGGTGGAGCTGTCTGCTGAGGAGAGGGCCTACCTCACCGCTGTGGAGAAAGGTGCACACATATTCAACCTTCCTCCACCACCATCCAGCCATCTGTTCCTTTTTTCTCCATTAGCATCATCATAGCTCCCTCTTCATTCTCCTGATCCACTCACCTCCTAAATGATGCAGAGTCGATACTTTCTGATGGCTGAACGGTGGCAGCAGCTGGTCAGTCAGACTCTGCTGTAGCCAACAGTTCACAGGTGTCATCTCTGCAACAGCTGACATGTGCTTCAGCAGACTGTCGTCCTGTCGTAGTGTCCTTGAACAAGATGCTGAAACCCAAACTGTTCACCAAGCATGAGAACCTATCCAAATCACATTCTTCCTGTTTAGCTTTGGGTGATATGAAACAAATGAATGTTGCGAAAATGAAATGATCACAGCCTTATAAAAGTAGTTGTTAAAAGTCATATTTGTCCCACTGAACATATTATGTTTCTATTATTAATTCCAGTCCTTTTCATTTTCTGCATCAGTGTACTGTAAGGTGATACCTAAAAACTCCTGATTGAATCATCAGTACAAAAGATGTGGTTCCTTTATTAAAATGCTACGGTTTTCACATTATGGTAAGAAACATCTCTCCCCAAGCTTTAAATTCTGTTGTGTGCTCTGCAAATGTCAAGCTGAAGAAAAAGTTTACACTTTGTAGAAACCTGATAAAACATTCAACAGTTTGAATGAAATCACTTTCGGATTCTTGATCAGTGTTGAATAAGTTCAGCAAGTGGCGCTGAAACTGAAACTGATGGCCGTGACATAAATCTAAAGTCCTGTTAAATTATCTAGGGGACGTCTGTGTTTATATATTGATGAACTTAAGGATATCATTAAAGAAATCTTCCCAGTGATGAAAAGTACACTGAAGTACTATACTTAAGCACAATTTGAGGTACTTGTATTTCCAGTTTAAGCTACCTTACACTTCTCCTCCACTACAATCTGTATGTTACAAAAGCTTATAAAAGAATATTGTTAAAGATGAACACAATGGTCCACAACCTTTTGGGCTTGTGACCTCTTACAGCATGTATTTGGGGCTCCTTGTCACATTTCAGACATCTAACAAATGTTAGCATTTGGATTTTGGAGGTTTGACCCCTGGGAACCTTTGGACCATAGGCGTCGCTAGACACATTTTACTGGGGCACGTGCCCCAGCATCTATGTGCAGTGATCCAGGAAAATTGTCAAGGAACCCTTGCCGTTGTTTTTGGACGTGTAGGACTACGTGGTCAAGTTAGCAACAATTGGCTACATGAGCAACGTCCGGTCAAGTTAGCAATAATATATATATATATATCCAACGTCCGGTTACACTTTCAAAATAAAACTACTGGTTAAAGTGAAACGGCAGATTGTTAAGGATATGACACGTCGCAAAACACGAGTCAGTGCTGAATGAAAGTGTTTACCACGTTGTGAGGACAAAGAAGGACTATCCTTCTGTGCGCAAGAAGAGAAAATAACTCAATGAGAGTGACTTTTGGGAACAGCAGTCAGGTAAACTTGTGTTCTCTTCTCTGAAAGTCCGATGTGAGCAGTGTGTTTTTGTTTGGTTGCTTGCCAGACTGTGACTGAACAACTATTTATTATGTTTGATAAACGGCAACGTGCAACGATGTTTATAAACTACAGCATGAACCACATTGCGCGTAAACATGCGTTTATACGCGCGTGCACAAAATTAAACTTGCGCATTTCACTTGCGCATTTCAGGAGAAGGGTCCGGCTGAGCGGTGCTACATTCCGCAGTCGGACCACACGGTGTGATGGCACACATAATTTGAAAACAAGACAGTGATTATCTGTCTCTCAGTGAAGGTTTAGTTACAACTCTGGACTAATACAAGATATGGATGTACATCTTTCAGTAAATAATAAACATCACACATCTAGTCAAGTTATATAAGTAGTATTTTACCTTTCAAAATGTATCAAAAGAAACCTCTGGGAGCCAGTTTGAATGGGTCTTATGCAGCTGATAACATTAATATCTAGCAAATATTATTTTCTATAATTTACAGGTGCTATGATTAAATTTGTCAGTAGAGTAGATGCTGGATCATAATAATAATAATAATAAGCCAATACTAGCACCGCTGATCCAAATACAGTACCAGCACAGACCCAGTCCAGACATTTTTTGAAAAGGTCACACAGACCCTAGTGAGATACAGGCAGCCTCAGCCAGTAATAGTACAGCCACTGGTCTACAGGCAGCATCAGATACAAGCAGTATAGACCCTAATGAAGGATTGAGTTAGTTAGAGGTCCATTCAAATCAGCAGATTTTTCTAGAAGAGGTTTCCATTCAGACTTATTACAGAGACAGACTGTTTTAATGGAGAGGTGGTAGTGAGCACTGCAGTGTCAGGTGTGACGAGCAATGGCAAATTGTTTACATGGCTCACAAGTCAGGTAGGAGGGCCATGGCAGAATTCATCTTAGGTGGTGACATAGGTGTGGGTGTGCATGCTCTGGTCAAAGCCCTTCCTTTAACATGACAGAGCCAATATTAATGGGCTAAGCAAGGGATGCTGGTGAGGCACATAGTGACACATTTCATACACTTGAATCAAAAATAACTAAAATCATAAATCAAAATTTTAGATAAGGGATGAGAGGGCCTGTGCCCCAGCAGATCTTTATGTCTAGCAACACCCCTGCTCTGGACTAAACCATCTTTAGTAACTGTAAAGTAGTTAAACCCAGCTCCACCTTAACCAGCTACAATAGTAAATAACTGCTTACACATTTTTGCATCAGGATTAACAATCTTAAAAATCCCTATACTTAATACACTATGCTCATAATTCTTCTGTACTCTTGAGGTTTAAATGCAGGTATTTTACTTGTAAGGAAGTATTTTACATTATTGTTTAGGTCTGTTCCTTCAACCATCAACCCCTCCACCCTCCCTCTGCCTCCCCAGGTGACTATGCGGGTGTCAAACATGCCCTTCGCGAGGCGGAGGTCTACTACAACATGGACGTGAACTGCCTGGACCCGCTGGGCCGCAGCGCGCTCCTCATCGCCATTGAGAACGAGAACCTGGAGATCATGGAGCTCCTGCTTGACCACGGCATCCACACCGGCGACGCCCTGCTCTACGCCATCAGGAAGGAGGTGGTGGGCGCCGTGGAGCTGCTGCTGTCGCACAGGAGACCCAGCGGCGAGAAACAGGTGTGTGTGTGTCTTTGAACAAAAGAGAGGGAGACGGCCTCCGTGCATGCATGTTGATCTGTTGCATCCAGACACATTCATGTGTTTGCATTTACCCATCTGTAAATGTGTTTGTTTTTCCATTTGTATGTACTGTGTGTGTGTGTGTGTGTGTGTGTGTGTGTGTGTGTGTGTGTGTGATAATGAGTAGTGCATCCATTCATTGTAATGCTTCATGCCACGTTTTGCTGAGAGGATGGAAATTAAACAGCTCGTTTTATAGACACACTGTGAAATAGGATTTAGAGACAGACAGTATATTTGTTTATGCCATATATCTGTGTGTGTGTGTGTGTGTGTGTGGGTGTGTGTGAGAGAGAGAGTAAAAGAACATGTTGCACAGTTCAGTTAACATGTAGGTGTTAAGGGGGATCGAAGAGGAGAGATTCAGAGAGAGGAAGTGAAAGAGAGCGAGGGAGCACATGATGATGAGGGCGTGGGGGGTTGAAGAGTGAGTGAGAGACATTGGAGAAGAAAAAAGATCAGAGGAGAGAGAGAGAGAGAAAGGAAAAGCAGAGAACAAGGAGATACATTTAACAAAAGAGAAAAACACAAGAGAGGAGAAACAGAGTTCTTCTTCGTGTACATTAATTCCTGGACCGTCTGAGGCTGTGAGGTTCCACGTCTCCATGGCAACCAACCCTTGGCCGAAGCAGAGGATTGTGGGAAGGTTTTGGTTGCATCTCAGTTGGACGAGGATAAATCTGTTCTCGCTGTGTGTCTCTGTGTCTCTTTTTTCTTTTTCTGCACATCCTCCTGTTTCTCTTCTCTATTTGATTCTTTCCACTAATTACTTTTCTTTTGATCCCCTTCAGTTATTTTACACAATGACATACGGTGATCTCAGACCTGAACAGCCTCTTGTAGGTTTAGAAAATTCTGCTCACCCAAAGTCTAATATAAATAAGTAACATTTTACACATCTAAACATTTAACTAACAAACCGTTAGTCACCAATTAGCATCACATCCCCTGGTATGAGAGCGTTAATGGATGTTGAACTATTTAATGGTCCTTAATAGATTTTTATGCGCGAGTTAAAATTCCATTACTATCATTTAGTAAAGCTTAAAAGTATGCAGATTATTATGTGTTGAATAATGATTACTATACCATTCATTATAAAATGTATGTAAAGTGGTGAGTGTAAATGTTTTCCATAAACATCCTGGTGTTAATAAGCTGCTTAAAACAACACATAATAAATGTGCATGAAGACAGGAAGCGGTGAAAGTGAACTAAAAACTGTCAAAACAGTGTTAGAAAACACATTTCACATTATCAACCAGAAAGTCACACCAGTGTGACTGAACAACTACAGCCAGTGTACATCCATAGATGAGTTCACACTGGTGCACTTTGACAGTCCATTCAACCTCTGCACGGATCATCAGTGGGTGAAGATGAAGGCTTTATGCCGTAATAACACTCCACCATGCAGAGGGCATACAAAATTTACATTTAACCTCAGAGAAAAAGATTCCAGCTTTAAAACAGTGCAGCACAACAGTATAAAACAAATATACAGGCAAATCATATCAGTGAACATTTATTTGCATTAAAAGAGAAGCGGCAGCAAACACCCTAGCAAATTTCACTTTTACCCACCACAGTCTTTCCATTTTACCGATCCGGATACAAACACTTGCTTGTGGAAAACAGAAAAGTGTTTGTTGTTGATTCGGAGACTGAAGCATCTGAACAGGTAAATCTAACAGCAACATTCGTGAACAGAATTTTATACTCTAAGTTAAAGAAGCTGTGTGTGTGTGTGTGTGTGTGTGTGTGTGTGTGTGTGTGTGGTTTGAATGTGATAACTATATTAAGAACTGGATGTGTGTATTCCGTGTGTGTTTTCTAAACTGCTCTTTCCCAGCTGACAGGTAGAGTCGATGCCTTTTATCTTCTCCTGGCGAGCAAAACTGTTGACCTCCCTGCCATCCCTCTCCATCTGACTCAGTCTGACTCCCCCTCTCTCTTTTTAATACCTCTCTCTCTCTCCTCTCCTACTCACTGATTAACTACGACCAAAGTTTTCTATATCACCAGCTCACCAGGAGGAATGAGGTAGCAACGCCAGGAAGGAAGGAAAGAAGGGAGGGAGGAAAACGTGGAAAGGTGGATGAAATCTGAAGGTCTTTGGCCTGAATTTACAAAAAGAAGTCGCACGAATGAGGGAAGGAGATAACACGGGGAGAGAGATGGTGACACTGAAGCAAAGCCACATTTTATAAAAAAAAAAAAAAAAAAAGGAGTGCAGGGCATAGAGTGAGGAAATCCAGACAGAGAGAAAGGGAAGGAATAATAAATGAGGGACATCAGTGATGGAGAGAGGAAGTGAGAGAAATTGTTACAGAGAGAGAGAGAGAGAGATACAGATGAGGAAAGGTTTTTCAGGCTCCCTCTCACTCTTCCCTTTGATGTGTGAAGTGTGTGGGGGAAAAAAAGATTAAGTGTACATGTGTGTGTTTGTGTGTTGCTGGAGTCGAAGATAATTTTTGGTTGTTTTGATCTGTGTGTGTGTGTGAGAGAGAGAGAGAGATTATGCAATCAGTGCATCTGCAGATGTGTGGATGCAAACATATATGTTTACGTAAAGTTCCCCGTATAAATTACTATTTTTCTAACCAACTACATCAATCAATATCACAAAAACCTTCTGTATTGATTTATTTGATTTGATTTCAAGTGACTCTGGTTGATCTGCAGTTATAGCAAATCAGCAGTTCCCTTGTGGGTGTGAGGGACCAAGCAACTGAATACTGGGCCCATAGAGGAGCTCATCTTAACCAAACTCAGGCTGCAATAACTGAACTGACTACTACAAACTGTAAACTAAAAATTCCTTGGTGTGGCAGGCATTTGGGGCAGACTAATTGGCCACTTCCGGCAGCAGCTCCCTCAACACTGGTAACTCAAGAAATAGAAATTAGAACTTAAGGCAAACTAAAGTGTGAATGTTCAGAAGTTAACTATATGAGCACACTACAAATAGGAACTGCCAAGAATAATAAATAAACTATGAGCTATGTATGGTCAATTATCTGCTCGCTGACACAGGGCAGTGGTGTGGCAGCAGGTGCAACCATCACAGTAAGTTTTTTCCTGCAAAAGATGCAGTGTAATAAAGCAAACGAGGCCCACTGTGGTACACAATTTGAGTGCTGGTTTAAGAATGCCCAGCGGCGGCTGTGGTCGCAGAATTGGTGGTTTTGATCCCAAGCTCAGCTCTGTCCACATTCAACTGTCTGTCCTTGAGCAAGACACTGCGTTCCATGTTATTCCGGGTGGTTAGGCGAGTGCCTTTCGTGGTAGCTCTCTACCATCATCGGGTGAATGAGTAATTCAGAGGCGAGTTATAAAGTGCTTTGGATAAAAGTGCCATATAAATGCACTCAGATTCTGATACCATTGAGAAACTGGGCAAAACATGACAAACACAAGCATTTTGCATCGATGTCTGTGAAGATTCATCCAGGTCTTAGTTATCCAAAGAAGGTTAAAGTCAAGGGCAACTGGACTTGGTTGAAGATACTAGAAGAAGAGAGAACTGAAGAAGTCCTTTGGATGAGGGACGAAACGTCTTCTAGTATCTTCAACCAAGTCCAGTTGCCCTTGACTTTAACCTTCATAGCATTTTGCATCTAAACTTCCAACTAAGGAAAGATCACAAATAAGAATTAAATCCATACATCTCTAGGTGTAGCCAGCAGCTGGTTAGCTTAGCTTAGCATAAAGATTGGAAACATATGGAGACAGCTAGCCTCGCTATGTCCGTCTACATGCAATGCTAAAGCTCATTAATTACATTATATCTCGTTAAATCTCTTACTAAATCTTACTAAAGTGTAAAAAATACAATTTGCTGTTTTTAGGGGGTGGTTTGTGGGGCTGTTTCTTGGCTGCAAGCATTTGCCAGGCATCCAGCAGAGACTCCAGGAAGTTACTATTTATCTCCACCAAAAAACAATATGTGTATTTCTCAAATTATTGAACTACTATTTTATGGTCTTTTCCAGTTGACCACATTTTGGGTGAGGTTTATTTATTATCCTTTGATCAGTTTGAACCCGGCCCTCTGGTCCATGTTGATTGTGTCTCTTAAAAACAAAAAAAACATTTGTTCAGGAACTTTGAAGGTAAACGATTTCTGTTCCAGAAGACCTCTGATATAAAGTACAGTACATAACTAAATAAATATTGCAGTGTTATTTTTCTAATCAGGGTCAGTCCTCACCAACAGCAAAAAGCCAATGAATGTTTTGATGCATAAAAAATCATTGAAATCAAAATTTCAGATCAAAAAACATCAAAAATGCATATTTTCCTGTGTGTTTTACTAAGTACATTTATATTTACCTGTGTGTTCTCTCCCTGTCTCTTTAATCTGTGTGTGATGCCCAGCCCGTGGCAGCTGTTCTCACACTCCTTATCACGCCAAGGGGAGAAAAGAGGGGGAGAGAGATCGGATGAGGAAAAAAGGTTTTGGCAGCAGGGAGGAGGGAGAGAGGAGCTGAAAAGACCAAAATGGAGGAGAGAGATGAGAGGAGAGGAAGCAGGTCGATAAACAAAGACAGCAGGAGGTCAGAAGAGGAGAAAGATTGAAGAGAGGATGAAGAAGAGAGGGTGTAGAGAAAGGAGAGAAGATGGTAGACAGGGTGGTGGGAAAATTAAAAAAAAATATATAATGTGTTAAAAAATTTTTTTCTTCTTTGCTTAGAGGGAGGGGTCCTAAACCCCAGGTTAGGAAACAGTGATATGAGGAATGAAGCTGCAGGCGCACACTTCAGTCCGCGCTGATGAAGATGCTAACATAATGTTTTCACTGTTAAATTAATACTTTCACAGTTTGGGAAGAAGGCAGGATAGGTGGAAAAGAAGAGGAGAGGATGAGGAGTGAAAGACAGACCGAGGAGGCAGACAGAGTGAAGATGAGAAGGACGAAGAGAAGCACTCTGCTTCGTTCTCACTCTGAGAGATGAAAGAGAGTCCACATGTGTTCACTCCACTCCTCCCTCCTCTTCCTCAAGTCTGCTCCTCTCACTCCTTCTGATGTTTTGGATTGCGTATGTGCGTGTGTGTGCGTGTGTGTGTGTGCATGTGTGTGTGTTCACACTTTTAAGTCTCCCTATTTTGCATTGAAAAGCAGTATAAAACACTTAAATAGTTTATGACACACTATAATGTTGTTCAATTTAGTTGTACTGTGTTATTATTGTGTACTTTTTCCACATACTGTGTACTTATCGTGCATTTTATTACGTGTTGTGTTTTTAGCTCAGTTCCTCTTCACGTGGCTCGGACAGTCATTTAATCTTTTTTGTTTTCATTCTTGTCTGTAAAGAACAAATACAAATAAAGTTTACATACATATTTACGTAGTTTTATGCACATATAATTATTTGTTAAGGTATTTGTCAACAACTATAACTCCCGTGCGTGAAGGCTTGTGTATAATATGCTATATAGAAAAACATTTGTAATTTAAAATCTCTTTATAGGAGATCAATCATCAATTCATTAATAAACACTTTAAAATGTCTACTTACAACAACATTATTATGTCAACCTTATACTTAGTGCTTATGTGCTACATAGAAGGGGTTTAAAGTTTTTTGTTTCATTTACTGCAATCTTATTTACATGGGGACAGAGAAAAGTAGTAGATTTAACTCAATAGCAATTATTGAGGTTGTAGGTTTTTTTTTTTTTTTTCAAACTTTCATGTTGCTTTGACTATCCCTTGTATTTTGTTTTGAATTTATCCACCAATAACTGACAACTGAGACAGAGTTTTACCTCCTCTTCCAAGAGTGTCTTCGAGAATCCTTAACTTATGGCTGGCAGTCTTGTAATCGCTGTGAAGTAACCAGCTGAGACCCCAGGAAATGAGGGCAACTGCCCAAAAAAGTCTGGCATATAACCCCCATAAAAACCACAAATTGTCCTTCTTACACTTCAGGTTTTTATACAGATTAAACAAATGAAATATAATGTGTTCAAAAGTGAGCTTCAGGGATGCTAATAGGTGGATTTTGTTATCTTTTGACAGAGCCAGGCTAGCTGTTTCCCTGTTTGTGCTAAGCTAAATGTTTTCAGCTTTAAAGTGTGTACTTGCAGCTTTAAACCTCACATCCCTGGTTCCCAACCTGCGGTTTAAACCCCACTAAAATATATGAGATGATTAACAGGCTAGCAAATAATAAAAAAAAAATATCACACACTAAATAATGTGTATTTTGTGTTAATTTTCTGTATTTTTTATTCTTTGTGAAATACTTTTGTTTTGCCTCTTAAAACCTCTAAAACATTGAAATGAAGGAAATGTTTGCATCCCGTAGACCAATACAGTTAAAAACACTGGGATTCAAAGTGTGTGTACACACTTTGTAGTAAAAGAAAAATTGATCATAATATATCCTTTATTCTGTCTTTCTCACACATCTACTTGTAATGACCGACCACCTGGTCTTCACTTGGTAATAAAACGCTCTTTCACTCTCTTGTTTCTCTCAAACTACAGCAGGTGTTCAGAGTCACGTCAATGAGGGATATAATGAGTTTTTGGCGAGGATGTGCCGTTAAATATGTACCTCTGCAGTGTTCTTTTTTTGTGGAATGCATTACACTAATTTAATTTGTTTTAATCTGATTCAAGTGAGTTTAATTTGATTCATTATTTGATTAATTTGTCCTTTCCTTTGAGTTGTTCCCCTTACGTAACACTGCTGAATCAAGGCTTTTTAATTGGGCATTGACAGTCTAAGAAGAAGCTCAAAAATCATTTTATTTTTATATTTCAGTTATCATCCACCCTTTAAATGAAGGTGGTGCCTTTTTTCCATTTTATAAAAGAGTGTTTGTTCTTTGTTCTTCTTCAGGTACCGTCGCTGATGATGGACAGTCAGTTTTCAGAGTTCACCCCAGACATAACTCCCATCATGCTCGCTGCTCACACCAACAACTATGAGATCATCAAGCTCCTCGTCCAGCGGAAGGTGACACTATACACACAAGTTTCTGTCAGCAACTGGAATTTAATTAACTTAGATGTTAGCTGATAATAATTTATCTTTTTATTATGTTGTTGTTCTGTTTAGGTCACCATTCCCAGACCACACCAGATACGATGTGACTGTGTTGAGTGTGTATCCAGTTCAGAAGTAAGTAATTATTTCTCTACAAATTCATTTTTGCAATGCAATATTTGAATATACAGTTATTACTCCCATTGAACCGTTTATTTTAAGCATATTTTCTTAAATAATTGCATGTCTTTAACGTCCCCTCTTCCGTATTTTCCTCTTCTACTCAATTAAATTATTCGTTAGTGTAAAATATTTTTGTAACTCACAACGCACGTTTTCTTCTTTATATATAGTCCTGATTTATGTCGAGCTGCCATAACATCTCACACAATTACATGTCATGTTCATAAAGATTCATTCATGTCCATGACAGGTGCCATGTCTGTCTTATGCACCCGTTCTAATAAATAAAACAGCTACACCTTTACCAAAGAATTACTGAAGGACCTCTACTCTAATTGAGTATTTTTACATTGTGGTATTTGTACTTTACTTAAGTAAATAATCTGATTACAACACTGCCATTTTTCTCTTAAGCTTGCAGTTCAGGTGACTAAACCATCATGTTAATTGAAATATTAAAACACCCATCAGGATTTTGGATACTATTTCTAAGACTGGCTGACTCACAGCTCTTGGACCTCCTAAGGAGATGAGACATATCAGGGTATGACGTGGTATGGGTGGGTTTTAACCTTTGAAAGTGATGAATTGATCTTTCCCTCTTGTTTATGCCTCCTTCTGTAGGTAGACAGTCTTCGGCATTCACGGTCTCGACTCAACATCTACAAGGCTCTGGCCTCGCCCTCCCTCATTGCGCTATCCAGTGAAGATCCCATCCTCACTGCCTTCAGACTGGGCTGGGAACTCAAAGAGCTCAGCAAGGTAAGGATATTGATGCTTTTTAGTTGTGTGTTTACTGGCAAACGACTTTTTGTTACAGGTACAGGGTTCCTCTTGCAGAATGAATTGACCCATTGCTAAGCAACTCCCCGAATACACAGCTGGCCAATCACAGTGCAGTATAGGATGAGGTCCGTCACTTTCATGGATGTGCTCCATTTTGGCTGTATTTTTCTAAGATAAGGTCAAACGCTGTTCCTGGGGCACTTATAATACTGACAGTTGCTACCAAGAGAGGCTGATAGGAGAAGTACAATTTATTCTCTTTCCAAATCCAGAAAAATGTTGACCGTGGATCATTGCTAATGTAATGTTAGTTAACGCCAGCTAACTTCCTACTGAATGTAACAACAGAAAGCCTTAATGTTCGGCTTTTTAATGATTGTAATATTGAAGAGAGGCCTACCCAGCTTTACAGGAACAGTGTTGATCGTTTATTGTTGTCTTTTGTCTCAATCGTCGGGGGATGCTGTGGTTCACTTGTGCTGTGTGATCGGTGGGCTTTAGCTTCTATCTGTCATTTTTTTCATGTCTGTTTGAGTCAGTCTGACAGCCTGAATACAACCTTCAAATCTATAATGCAACTGCAAAACTGTCTGCTTCTTTCTGAGATCGATTTTTACAACACATTTTACAATATTTCTCCAGGGAGTGCAGTAATAGACAGTGGCAGCACCTACAGTTTGTTGGACTGGGCTTAGCAAGGGGTCAGTTGTTGGCGCCAGTTCTTCTTTGTGGAGAACAGGTTCAGTCTGCTTTACAGTGACTTGTCAGTGAGGTTTTAGAACCAGGATTGGCATCAGGATTTTTGCCAGGTTTTATTTCCACAATGTACAGCTTACTGTCAAATTAAATGACACAACAACTAAAACTGTCATAATAAGGAGCTGGTACACCAGAGCAGTTTCAGTCCTCATTGGCATCGATTCTCCAAGAACCTAAGTAAACTCTACTGGAGTGATGCCACATCCTAAACTTGATGGGCTGTTAAAACCTCTGTGGAAGCAGCAGCACCAAATATTATTTATATTATACTTATATTATAAGTGACTGTACCTCGATTTTATAGTGAACTTTTTCTTTTTCTTTAAGTTCTAGCAGTGTAATCACACAAAGCCTCACAGTTCATATCATCATCATCTCTGCAGTGATTCTTCTCTCAGGCTATGAATAGACAGTAGCAGACAATATGAACCATCAAAGTTATGGATAGTTATAGTCCTGTCAGAAGTACTTCCAAAAGGTGTCCTGCCACTCTCATTGTCTGTACTATCTTCTTCTCCTCAGGTGGAGAATGAGTTTCGTCAGGAGTACGAGGAGCTATCGCAGCAGTGCAAACGGTTCGCCAAAGACCTTCTGGACCAGGCCAGGAGTTCAAGAGAGCTGGAAACCATCCTGAACCACAGAGACAACGACCAGAGCGAGGAACTGGACCCCAGACAGTGCCATGACCTGGCCAAGCTCAAACTGGCCATCAAATACCACCAAAAAGAGGTAGGGACTCAACCTGAAGAGTGACCTCTATTCATGGAATCCCTGGGGAGGAGTGCAATGTTGATACGATTGTTTTCTGATTTGTTTTATAAACCTTTGGCTTTTTCAAAGTCTCTCTCTTTGGTGAGGCCCAAAACACCAGTTTTACTGACAACAGCGATGTATTTGACTGAAAATACTGCTGAAAACTGAGAATATAGTAGTCTCTGTGAGTGTGCTTGTTTATGTAGATTATAATATTTATATGTGTATGTGCACCTTGCCTGGTGCTGAGGTTTGTTCTCAAATCCCAGCAGAAATCGATATATTCATTGCTGTTATTCATGGCCACACAGAGTGAAATATCGCAGCCTCTTTTGGACGGCTTTCCATATTGACATTTATAGCATTCAGGTTGAATACTTTACTGCTGCCTTGACTTTGCATGTTAATGTTCAACAACCATGTGTTCATATTCTAATAACACCAATATGTGTTAAACCCAGCTCTCATCTCCTCACCTGAAACTAAACAAACGTTCACATTTCGCCTCATGTGAGAACGCCAACAACGGTCATTCAGGCTTGGCCTCCGGTGTCTCCAGCGACCATAACGACGAGCACCAATGAACCAAGCAGTATTGATCATCTTGACAATGAGGTTAAATGGCTGGGTTTCCCTACCAGTCAGCTAGAACTGAAGAAGTCTCTCGGATGAGAGATGAAACATCTTCGAGTGTCTTTACCCAAGTTCAGCTGCCCTTGATTTTAACCTTCCTTGGATAATAACACCAATACATACTAATGAGCAAACATGCTAAACACTATACTGATAATCCCAGTTTATGTTGGCATTTACTGTAGGTGTGTACATACAGTACGTGAGCCCGTATTTAGAAGTATTTATATGTGTCTGTGTGTATGTGTCTATGTTCATATATAGAAACATGAGTGTTGAAAGCAGAGAGAGGGATAGAGAGCAGAAAAAAAGGAAGGATGAATGGGGGC